TGAACTGGTTTTGATCTGTTGTTTTTTTTCTGTTATAATGAGTCTATCTCGGAATATTGCGATTATCACAGTGAATTTTATAACACATCAGTTCTGTTGACGGTTGCCAATAAAAGATATGCAATAAAAAATACGCAAGTAAGTATAAATATTAGCACACACATTGTTAATTTAAATGTCATTTTCACAAATTCACGAATTGAATTTAATGTTGCTGTTATTATGAATGGCCATGAATATGCTGTTTACCAGCCTGATATTATTTTCGGCTTATAGTTACTAGTGACATGTGACGATTGCACCGCCACTAACTGGATCGAACAATTAGCCTGCGTAAAATATTTCTTTAAATATAGACGTTGACACAGAAGGATCAGCTGGAGGTCGCGAAAGAAAGAAAAAGAGAAAAAGGTCAATATCGCGTGAAACAAACATAGAGACTGTTAGGCCGTCGATGATATCGGTCGGAAATTAACGTTGCAAGTAATATATTTAACATACATAATGTAAACACGATAAGAAACAAAGGAAGGTTAGAAGACGAGGTCTAGCGACCGCGCGGATAATAAAACACATAGGGACTTGGCTGACGGTCTTCGACGCGTGTACACGTGCGTTCTTCGTGACACTAGAATTAATAAATCGAACTTAGTAATTGACCCGAATCGAAGATTTAATGAATTAACTGCTTGATCCAACCGCTCCTTATAATCCAGTCACGTACAAGTACACATCATACATATCACATTCAATAATTTGCTCCGCGTCATTCGCTAAAATGTCAACCGCAAACTACATCGTATTTACAGACAGGCAATTATGATTCGTTGGCACGGTAAAATCGCAGTCGTTACCGGCGCTGGATCCGGCATCGGCGAAGCAATTACACGTGCTCTTTTGCAAAACGGAGTGAATGTGGCTGCTTTGGATGTCCGGAAAGAAAGATTAGCAAAACTCGATGCGGAATGTAAGCAGGAAGGTTCCCGAACCTTGGGCACGTTACATACTATATGCTGCGATATAAATCGCGAGGAGGAGATCGATGCAGCATTCTCGCATGTCGAGACGTTAGGTGGTGTGGACATTATGGTCAACAATGCTGGCATTGTCGACTATACACGAGTAATAGGTATGATAATTGATATCACGTATTTATATGAAATATGTTATGTAGCGCGCACTAATTGCGTAAATAAAGTCATTAGTTGTGGTCAATGAGATATTTAATGCAGAATCGAACACAGAACTGAGTTACACTGAACACTTAACACTAACAATTAAACAGAGAAACACAAGGAAATATAAGCTCGCAAAACGTCAAGCGGGTTTCAAAGCCCGATCCAAATTCAGTCAACTTTGTTGATTTCTTGTCTTAAAAAATTCTCTCTATTTTCATCGATTGTTCGATATCGAAGCGCATGCTGGACGCAAGACTGAAAACTAGAACAATATTGCGAATAAGAGATTTTTTAAGGATTATTTAAATATCTATTATTTGTACGCTCTCTTATCGATAATAAATCTTTCCCTCTACGTATAATTATTACGTATAAACAGAAGTATATATGTTTTGTATTTTATCTCAATGTTATGCAATTGAAGATATATTAATTTGAAATTATGAATTTACACATTTACGACACTGTTTCATAAAATAACGAATGTTGTTATCTATTTAAAAGATGCATTAATATGCGCTTATAAAAAGCTTATTTGTGTCATTGTGTTTATCTTAGAGTACTTGAAGAATTTGAGGACTGATTAAATATCTCATTTAAAAATCTAGTTCCGATTGTGAATGCTCTTAAGATTGTTAAAAAACACAACGAGTTCTTAGAAGATGTATTTCTCGTTGAAAAAAAGAAGATTTTTATTTTTGCTGTGTATGTGCCATCTCGCTATGGCGAGCGATGGGACAGTATTACAATATTACATATGTACAATAAAAAGACTTCGGTCTTCTTTATAATGATTTTTCAACAAAAAAATACTATAAATTACATTTGCAGAGAGCGACAGGAAGATATTTGAAAGATTGTTAGATACTATAATGTTCTCGCAGTTGCCGTGTGTACGAACAAAGCAGTGCGTTCTATGCGCGAACGAAACATCGAAGGACATATTTTTAATATTATCAGGTATTGTTGATTCGTACGTTAACAATGGTTGAATAAATTGCAAAAAACCTTTAAAATAAATAAATTTTTGGAAAATCAACATTTTCTGGGTTTTCCATAAAATGTAAGACAAAAAATACAAAAATCTTTTTAAAAAGCTTATAGTAATATTAATTCATTGTGATAATGTTTAATTGATACTTTTGTGCAGCATCATGGGCCATACTTTACCGCCAGAATCTTTAGGTTCCATGAATTTATATCCCACTAGTAAACATGCATCTCTTGCTCTAACTCGCACAGTACAACGAGAAATAGCGGAAATTAAGGCTCCTATTCGAGTTACCGTAAGATACAATTACATTTTAAGTTTCTATTTTTTTTTATTTTATTTTTTAATGTGATGTAATTTATAACTTTTAATTAATAAGAAACGCATTAATCATTATAATATTGCAAACCGATATATTGACGATATTAACTGTTCTGCGATAAGAGAATAAAAACTGCAGATATACGTTTCTAATAATAGACATTTTGTGATAATAAAATATTCATATGTGTGATCAAACGTAAACTGTGACCGTTATTTATCGGCACATATCAGATGTTATCACAATATTAGAAAGTTTATAATATTATTTGTACCAAATATAAATATATATCTATTACCAAGCATACTCCTTGTTAATACGGATAATTACTACGGATTTTTATTTATCCGGTCTTTTTAGGGCATTAGTCCGGGTATTGTAAAAACGAACATAGTTGAACATTTTGATACAATGAAAAATATTTTCGAGAAAGTACCAGCTCTTCAACCGTCAGCCATAGCGGATGCGGTCATGTATGCTCTTGGAACGCCACCAGAAGTTCAGGTTCAAATGCTCGTTGATATATTTTCTGTCTAATAAATATAGGAAAATCATTTAACTCGTTACTTAATTGCAGATTACGCAGCTTACCATCCAGCCTACCGGAGAGTATTCATAAAGAATATTTTCAGTAAGATGCCCGTCTACTTTTAATACATCAACAACTTCACAAGAAACAACTTTGCGTGTAATAAAGTAAAAAACTTGGAGCTTGTAAAGATACTAAGCTTTCATGTTGTTTTGCATTTTTTATATGAATATAAAATCTTTTACATATAAATTATTCTTTTTTGATCGTAATACTGTTTACATTTCACTTAGTAGTTTTGCTAATATTATATTTTTAATGTACGCTTTTCGTAGCTAAATAAAAATAAAAATAAATGAGCTAATAAAATTTGAGATAAAAAATTTTTATATGTATATCTATCTTTGCGTTTTATAATGATATATGAAAAATTATACTGTACAAATATTTTTCAATTACTTCATCATGCAAAAATGTATACTTGAAATTTATTATCAATATATTGTCAGAATACAAATATCGACTATCAGATATCGCTATCATTTATCTCCTGCGATGTCTTATACTTGTACATATCGCTTTAAAAAGATATAGTCGAAATTCAGATTTTTAACAAATTTCGCAAAGTAACATTGTTGATAATATGTAATCGTTGTATTCAAAGAACGATGGGTAAAATAACTAAATTTTGACTTAACCGAAATTTTTTTGGTGTTTTTTTTATAGCTTTTGATGCTAAATCATTTGCAAACGTTATTTTTAAACTTATATGATGAGTAAATGTTGGAAATCACAATCAAAGTAGCACAGCTTCGTTGAAATTTGAACAAAAATTGAAGAATATATAGAATATATAAGAAATGTAACACTTTCTTATCTTATTCCTTCTTGTTCTATTACCTCATATCCTATCCCTCTACTTTTTATTTAACCTAGCATCATTCATTCTGACACCATCTAATCTTTTTCAACCTAATCTAACATCACCGAACCTATCCTAAATATTCCGTTCTTAGCATGATCCAATATCAACGATATAAATGCAGTGGTTACCAGATTCTCTCTCTCTCTCTGTGTGTGTGTGTGTGTGTGTGTGTGTGTGTGTGTGTGTGTGTGTGTTTAAAAAGCTTGTCATTATTATTAATTTACAGTTTAATCATCAGCATTATCATTGTCGTTCTTATAAAGTCCTTTTATATTTAAATAATTATCTCGAATTTTGGCCTAAGCAATGGAACCTTTTAAATATTCAGCTGATCCAGTATAAGAAAAATATTATATAATGATAGCAACATGTGAACAACAACTAATTTAATTCAATTTCCTATTCTATAGTTACACGAACGACCAATGGTAACTGAAAAATCAGGCAGGATCCTGTCCGATCCTAATTGATAAAGAACCTTTATCAATAAAAACATAAAAAATATTTTGCAGATTTTCTGTGATGTAACTTAATTTGAGGTTAAATAAGAATAGAGGGTTGGAGTAGAAGGTGGTAGAAAGAGATAAAGAAGATAAGAAAGTGCTAAGTAGTCTTGAGATTTTGTATATATTTCGACAGACTATGCTACTTTGAATATGATTATTGACATTTTCCCATCATATCAATTTGAAAATAATATTTGCAAATGATTCAGCACATCAAAAATTGTAATAAAACATGCATAGAAAAGGTTCCATCGCTTAGGCCAAAATTCGGTTATTTTAGCTATGTCTCTCCTTTCAGCGAAGTTGATTTACATCTACACTCAGTAGATATGTATTAGCGTTACCGAATACTCACTTATAGAGAACTATTATACAAATGTATATATCTACTCTTCTATATAGTCACGAGATCTACGAGACCTCCCTCCCGCCCACGCCTAGCAAAAGACTCATTCAGCTCATCATAAAATCGTTCCATTATACATATAGCCTACACACTGCGTATCGTATAATACATGCGTTGCATAACACTGAATTGATATGCAACGTGACACGCAGATATGCAACAAGTCTGTACCGCTTTTAGTTCGATACAAGTTTGAAATTTGTCCTTCGCAGTATGTAAATAAATCTGTGGACTCTGATTTGTTACATCAGACATTTTTTCTATGATCACGAGTTTATCCTGAAACATCGCGATTTTCATAGTGCATTTTACATCAGTTCTGTTAGCGGTTGTGAATAGAAGATACGCAGTAGAAGATACGCAAGTAAGTAAATATATTAGCATTTGTTAATCAAAGTGCCATTTTCACAAATTTACGACTGAATTTAATAATATCGCTGCGATTGTGAATACTCATGATTACGCTTTTTAAGAGCCCGAGATTATTTTCGGTTCAGTAGTTATTAGTGGCATGTCAACCGCTACATCGTACTTGCAGACAAGCAATTATGATTCGTTGGCGTGGTAAAACCGCAGTCGTTACCGGCGCTGGATCCGGCATCGGCGAAGCAATTACACGTGCTCTTCTGCAAAACGAAGTGAACGTGGTTGCTCTGGATATCCGGAAAGAAAGATTAGCAAAACTCGATACGGAATGTAAGCAGGAACGTTCCCGAAGCTTGGGCACGTTACATACTATATGCTGCGATATAAATCGCGAGGAGGAGATCGATGCAGCATTCTCGCATGTCGAGACGTTAGGTGGTGTGGATATTATGGTCAATAATGCTGGCATTGTCGAAATTTCACGAATAATAGGTATGATGAGTGAAATCATGTATTTAGACAGAATGACAGAATAAGGGATTTTTAAAGGACTATTTAAATAACTATTATTTGTATGCTCTCTTATATCGATACTGAGTCCTGTTCTCTATGACTAATTACAAAAATATAACATGTGTTGTACATTTTATTTCATTGTTACGCAATTAGAGATATTAATTTGTATTCTAAACTTATACATTTACCAAATTCAGAAAATAACAAATGTTGTAATCCATTTAAACAATGCACTGTGTCATTGCGTTTAAGTTCTTGAGAACTTGCAGAATTTATAAGAACCGATTAAATGTTTCATTTAGAAATTTAGTTTCGATTGAAAAGTGTTATTAACATCGTTGAAGAACGAAATGGTCTTTTACGCGGAGGTGTTATGTTTTTTGCTGTAAAGACGAGATTCGTACTTTTATCTCGTACACATCTCGCAATGGCAAGATAGGACAGTATTACAATAAAAGACTTCGGTCTTCTCCGTGTTAATTTTTTTAAAAAAATTTCATTAATTACATTTGTAGAGAGTGACAGGAAGGCATTTGAAAGAATGTTAGATACTAATGTTCTCGCAGTTGCCGTGTGTACGAACAAAGCAGTGCGTTTGATGCGCAAACGAAACGTCGAAGGGCATATTTTTAATATTATCAGGTATTGTTGATTCACACATTCACAATAATTGAGTAATGTGTCAATTCTAACTGGAATCGTAAGACTCGTAACTTGTTCTCGTAAAACTTGTAAGAACTTATAACTATGCTTATAACTTTACGCAATATTTTTACAGCTTTTTGCTATTTGTAAGATTTACGTGAAATTGTAGATATTTACAAATAATCATATATATCTTATGGTATAGAATTACAATTACAGTCATAAGTTATTACAAGTTTTACGAGAACAAGTTAGGATACTTATGATTCTGCTTAGAATTGATCCATAAATCGCCACAAATCTTTAAAATAAATAAGTTTCTAAAAAACTAACATTTGCTGGGTTTTCCGTAAATTGTAAAATAAGGAAAAATCTTTTTAACAAGTTTATGATAATGTAAATTTATTGCGCAATACATATTTTTAATAGTAATATTTTTTATGTATAGCGTTGCTGGTCATTACGTAGTGCCGGCTAGTGTGGGATTAAATTTGTACACTGCTAGTAAATATGCAATTCGTGCTCTAACTCAAACCGTACGACTCGAAATAGCGGAAATTAAGGCTCCTATTCGAGTTACCGTAAGATATAGTTTGAGCTTCCATTTTTTGTTATCTTATTTTTCAATATTTTGTGATAACTTTTAATTATTAAGAAATTAATCATTATAATGATTGCAATATCAATAGAGAACAAACTGCGTGTACGTTTCTAATAATAGACATTTTATGAAATAGGGTATTCATATATGTGATCAGATGTAAACAGTAACTGTTGCTTATCTATATCGAAGTTAGATTTTGTTATAATATTATAACATTTATAATGTTATTTTTATATACAAAATATTAATATACTCGCTTCTTTTTATCAATGTAGATAGTTACTATGAATTCTTACTTGTTTGGTTTTCTTTAGGGTATTAGCCCTGGTGCTGTAGAAACAAACATTGTTGAACATTCGGATACAATGAAAGCTTTTATGGAGCAACTACCAAAACTTCAACCGTCAGACATAGCGGATGCGGTTATCTATGCTCTTGGAACGCGACCGGAAGTGCAGGTTCAAACGCTTATTAACGTAATTTTTTCCTAATAAATATAAGTAAATCTTACGTGTTGTATAATTGCAGATTACCCAACTTACCATTCAGCCTAGCGGGGAGTCTTATTGAAGAATCTTTAGTAACGTGCCCGTTTTTTAATGCATCAATAAAAAGAAAAACAATTTTACGCTAATAATAAAGTAAGAAATCTTGGAACTTGTAAAGGTACTAACTTATCATTTATGGTGCTTTGTACTTTTTATATAAATATAATTTTTTGCATCTCAATTGCTGTCTATCATATACTGTCTACGTTTTATTTAATAATTTTGCTTATAAAATATTTTTAATGTATGCCCTTTTGTATTTAAATAGAAATAAAAATAAATAATCCAATAAAATCTGAGATAAAGAATTTGTATATACATATATATATATATATATATATATATATATATCATTCATTCTGACACAACTTCTAATATTACTCATCCTAATCTAGCATTACGAAACCTATCCCAACAATTATACTCTTACCATGATCCAAGATCAACAATCTGGAAATGACGGTTACCAGTATGTGTATGTTTTTAAAAAGCTCGTTATAAATTATTATTTTACAGTTTAATCATCAGCATCATTATTGTCATTCTTATAATATTCTTTTATATTGAAATAATAAACTAGGATCACTTCTAAGTATAAGCAAAATATCATATATAATGATAGCAACATGCGAACAACAACCATTTCAATTAAATTTCCTATTCTTAATTGCACGAATGATCAATGATAGCTGAAAAATCAGAAGATTTTATCATTAAGAACATTATGAAAAATATTCCACAGATTTTTCGTGACTAATTAATTCGAGATTAAATAAGAACAGAGAAGTGGAGTAGAAGGTGATAGAAAGAAACAAAAAAGATAGGAATTGCTACGTATTTTTAAATTTTTGTTCAAATTTTGATGAAACTATGCTACTTTGAAAGTGATTTTCAATATTTACCCATCACATCAGTTTGAAAATAATATTTGCAGCAAATAATTCAGCACATCAAAAGCTATAAGAAAACATGCAACATAGAAAAAGTTCCATCGCTTAGGCCAAAATTTTTTTAGTTTACCTATCATCGTTTCAACCAAGAGACTGTTACACCCAGCAAATACATATTAGTGAATACTCGAGAGAACTATTATACATTACTCGTGTATATAGATTATATAGTCGCAAGGTCTACGAGATCCCCTCCTAGTAAAAGAATCATTCAGCTCAATTTAAAATTGCTTCATTATGTAACCTACACTCTTGCAAATCGTACTATAAACGTTACATATATAATACTGAATTGATGCGCAACGTTGATACGCGAACAAGTCTATACTGCATTTACGTTCAATAAGAATTCGCAGTCTGTGTATGAATATGTTGACTTTGATGTTTAACCTGTTACATCAGACATTTTTTTTATTATAACGAATTCAGCCTAGAATATCGCGAGTTTTACAGTGCATTTCATAACACATCAGTTCTGTTGGCGGCAGCGAAGATACGCAATAGAAGATACGCAAGTAAGTAAATATGTTAGCATTGTTAATCGAAATGCCATTTCCACAAATTTCACGACTGAACTTAATGCCGCTGCGATTGTGAATGCTCATGATTACGCTTTTTACGAGCTTGATATTATTTTCGGCTCGGTAGTTATTAGTGGCATGTCAACCGCTACGTCGTACTTGCAGACAGGCAATTATGATTCGTTGGCGTGGTAAAACCGCAGTCGTTACCGGCGCTGGATCCGGCATCGGCGAGGCAATTACACGTGCTCTTCTGCGAAACGGAGTGAACGTGGCTGCTCTGGATGTTCGAAAAGAAAGATTAGCAAAACTTGATGTGGAATGTAAGCAGGAAGGTTCCCGAACCTTGGGCACGTTGCATACTATATGCTGCGATATAAATCGCGAGGACGAGATCGATGCAGCATTCTCGCAAGTCGAGACGTTAGGTGGTGTGGATATTATGGTCAATAATGCTGGCATTGGCGACTTTTCACAAGTAATAGGTAATAATGATTGATATCATGTATTTATAAAGAATATTGCAAAGAGATTTTTTAAAGGATTATTTAAATAATTATTATTTA